CACGAGGAGGAGGAGGAGGAGGAGGAGGACCCAGAGGGCGGCGGCGTCGGCGGCGGCGACGACGACGACGACGCGCGCGACGACGCGAACGACGTCCTCAGCGATTTCCCTCGCCCCTCGGACGGCGTCAGGACGCCGCGCGCGATCGCGCTCGCGCCGCGCGGGCGTCGCGTCGCGACGACGACGCTCCGGCGGGGCGACCTCCGAAGCGATCGTTCCGCCGCGTCTTCCGCGCGACGATCGCGGCGCCGGCGATCGTCGAGCGCGCGAAATCGCGCACCGCCGCCGACGAGCGCCGCCGCGGACGCCGTCATCATGTCGACGACGACGACGACCGCGCGGACGGAGATGACCTCGTGCGCGGAGGAGAGGCGCGCGAGACGCAGTGGCGAGCGCGGACGCGATAGGTCGAGTAACAACGGAATGCAAACAGAACGAACGCGTGACCGAAACGTGACGCGCCGGCGCGGCGCGCCGGCCGACCGCGACCGAAACTCGCTGAGGTGCGTTCTATACAAAAGTTTTTCACCCATCGCCCGGTTTCAACGTTTGATCGCGTCCCCTTTCAACTGACCGATGAACTATTTTTGTATGGAACGACCCTGACGGATGGACGAAGCCGGTCGACGACGGCCGCGGAAGCGCGCGCGAAGGCGCACTCGTCGACGCGCCCCGCACCGACCGCACACCGAAACGATGTCCACTCTCACGATCTCCGCCAACGCGCGCGCGCTCGGCGCCGTCAAGGTGCGCGCCGCGGACGCCTCGCGCGTTCTCCGCGCGCCGTCGGCGACGGCGAATCCTCCTTCGCTTCGTCGCGCCTCGGAGAAGATGCCGTCTCCGAGACCTTCGATTCGCGCGACGCGACGACGCGACGCGACGGCGCCGCGGACGCGCTCGCGACGCGACCGCGTCGCCGCCGCGCGCGAATCGACGTCTCGACGTCGTCGCGTCGCGTCGCGCGCTTTGAGGCGGCTCGCGTCGCGTCGCGCGCGCGTCGGACCGGAACGACGCGTCGCCGGTCGCTCAGGGCTTAGGTCAATTGCGCTTTATCCGCCGATCGACTCGACTCGATTCGATTCCCGTCTCCCGTCTCCCCGCTCTCGCTCACCGCGATCGTCGCCCCCTCGCGCAGGCGCCCGCCGGCCTCTCCGCGCGCAAGTCCGCGGCCGCGACCGCGCGAAACGCGCGCGTCGTCCGCGTCAGCGCCGCCCTCAGCGCGAAGACCCTCAAGCCCACGGTGCGCGAGACCCGTCGTCGCTCGAGGCGTTCTGGAGTTCTTTCGCTTTCAGACCGCTGTGAACCTCACGTTTTGACACGTGGGAAATGAAATAATCGTATCCGCCAATCATGTGCATCCCCGCGCGACTGAAATGACACGTGTCATCCCCTCGACCGCACATAATAGGGCAACCGCGTGCTCGTCATCGCCGACGCGCCCGAGACGAAAACCGCGGGGGGCATCCTCCTCACCACCGGCGCCGGCCCGGGCGGCCCGGGCTCGTCGGTCACCGGCAGCGTCAGCGCGGTCGGCGCGGACGTGAAGGCGGTCAAGGCTGGCGATAAGGTTTTGGTCAACGGCTTCGCGGGGAGCGACATCGAGCTGGACGACGGAAGCAAAGGGAAGTTTTTGACCGAAGACGACATCCTCGCCGTCGTGTCTTGAGGAGCTCTTTCTTAGCTACAGTAGTAGAGCGCCTAACTGATACCGCACACGTCGGCGGCGCGTACGCGTACTACTGTGTCGTGTCGTCGTCGCGCGTCGTAGCCTATGTAACGAGAAGAGGGACGCGATGCGCCGTTCGTCGTTCACACGCGCGTCGTACGACAGTATGTACAAATAGAGTTACGCGAGACCTCCCGCCTTCAGTTCGCTCCGCCGCTGAAAAAAATGAGACGTCATGTTATCGCTCGTCCGTCCTTCGTTGGTCCGAGGCTCATCAGTGATCGCCCTTGGACGGGTCGTGGAAGTGAAACTTCGACGCGCCGACCGCGTTCATGACGATGTCGAAGATGCCAAACTGCCCCGCGGTGAGCGTGCCGATCATGACGCACCTGTTGAAAGGCGTCAGAAGCGGAGGAGTTGAAAGGCGTCGAGGGCGGGTATTGAAACCGAGGGGTGGGCGGAGAGAGACGACGGCAAAAGTCCTTAAGAATCGGCGTTCACCACGCGAACGCGGTCGTATGGGAACCAGTGTACAGAACGCACCTCGCCGCGAGCCCCTGCGTGCAGAGCTTCACGAGTCCCGTCTCCGCCGCGATGTTGGCGAGACGAGAGAACATCCCGCCGCTGCCGCCCGCGCCAGCTTTGTTGATCTTCGACAGGAGCGTGTCCGCGGGGTGGGAGATGATCGCCGCGGTGACGCCCGCGACGACGCCGGACGCGAGCGACACGGAGATGTTCTCGCCGCTGCTCATCTCCTTCGGGGTCTTTCCGAGCGAATCGTAAATTTTCTCCGCCGTCGCGCCCTGCAAGTTGAAAGGCGTCAGAAGCGGAGTTGAAAGGCGTCGAGGTCGGGGATTGAAACCGAGGGACCCTGGGCGGAGAGATGCGCCGGGACAGAAAGTCCTTAAGAATCGGCGTTCACCACGCCGACGCGGTCGTACGGGGACCAGTGTGAGATAGAACGCGCCTGCACGGCGAACTTGGCCATGGTGTACGGCACCTGCTTCGCGAGGATGGGCCCGAACCCGGAGTAGAACGCGCCGATCACGCCCTCTTCCTTGACCATCTTCGCCATGCACCCGAGCATGCTGTCCGCGTACGTGGGGTTAGACACGAGCCGGATGCGCGTCGCCTCGAGCGGGCAGAGGAAGATGTCCGCGATGAACTCCGCGGCGGCTGACGCGCCGAGGTAGATGGAGTTCCTGTTGTCCCACGTCTGCTGCTCCGTCATGCTCTGCGCGGCCTGGATCTTGAAGTACTCCACGCCGCCGAACTTGAACCAGCCTTGCACGAAGTACCCGAACGCGGTGGGGCCGAGGCCGGTGAGCAGCGCGCCCGCGCCCTCCTCCGCGATCACCTTGTTAAACCCGGAAATCATGCCGGTGTACTTGGTCGGCTCGAGCTGCATGCGCGTCTTCACGACGTCCACGGGCGTGAGCGCGCCGTGCGTGATGGAGCAGCAGATGCCGCCCGCGAGCGCGCCCTTGAGGAAGTAGTCCAGGCCGTACTCAGCCTTGCCGGACGCCGCCATGAAGCCGGCGGCCGGGTGGGAGAACTTTTCGCTCACCGACGCCGCCGCGAAACCCGAGTCGCCCGACGCCTTGGTCGCGTTCGCGCGCGCGAGCGCCGCGGACGCGGTGGGGGCGTACAGAGACGCGGGGAAGTAGGATGAGAGGCCCATGATGGTCGTCGGTGGGGTGTCTGCGCTTTGGAGGGGGGATCGGAGGACCAGAGGGGAGGGAGGGAGGGCGTGATGAGTTCGATCGATCGTTCGTCTTCTCGCTTGTTTGTTGCGTTCCCGCGCCGTCGGTCTCTTCGCGGCGCGCGCGGCGAGGCGCGATCGCGCGGCGACGCGTCGACGGACGCGCCGTGGACGACGGCGTCGGGTCGCGGAGGACGCCGCGCGCGATGGGGAGGGAACGGCGCGACCGGTGGCGCGCGAACCCTCGCCCGCGGCGCGCGCGATCGCGCGCGGGGAGCGCCGGCGCCCTCTCGCCTCGATCGTTCCTTCTTCGTTCCCATCCATCGAACGGACGGGGGATCGGGATCGACCGAGAGAGAGAGACGCGCGCCGCGGGCGAAGACGCGCGACGCGGCGCGATCGCGCGCGCGGAAAATGCGCGCGGGGGGCGTGAGGGACGCGACGCGACGCGACGGGATGGGCGATGTTCGACGCACCCGCGAGAGTGACGCGCGCCGTGACAGTGATCGATCGATCGCGCGACGAAGCGTCGTCGTGAAACCGCGGCCAGAAGCGCGACGGGCAGGGGAGATTCGCTCTCCGCGGAAAAATGGTATCGAAGAAGCGCCGGAGACTTTCGCGCGCGTCCTCCCGCCGGGGCACAGCGGTCGCCGCGGCGGTCCGCGCGGTCGAAGCGATGACCGTCCCCGGGTCGGAGATCGACCACCTCCTGTTCGGCGCGTCCTCGCCTCCCGTCCCTCCCGCCTCGCGCGCTCCGACTCCCGGCACCTCTCCATCGCGGTCTCCCGTCGTCGTCGTCTCGTCGTCCGATTTCATCACGCGTTACGTTCGCGCGTTCTCGTCTCTTCGCGCCTCTCTCAGCTTCCTCCTCCTCCTCTTCGTCGTCGTCGTCGTCCGTCCTCCCTCATCAGACCTCGACGGCACGCTCTACGCGATCGAGAACGGGTACGAGCTCGCGTGCCGCGAGCGCCTGTTCGAGTTCATGGTCGAGCGCCTCGGGCTGCCGTCCAAAGACGCCGCGCGCGAGCTGTGGCGGCCGCACTTCGCGACGCACAACCAGTCTCTCAAGGCGCTACGCGCGGCGGGGTTCGTCGTGGACTCGGACGAGTACTGGGCGTACACGCGCGGGGACGCGTCGACGCACCTCGGCGCGAACGACGACGCGATCGCGTTCTTCGAGTCTCTGATGACGAGACGCGGGGAGGAGGAGGAGGAGGAGGAGGAGGAGGAGGAGGGGGGGGGTGAGGACGCGGGGGGAGTCGGCGGAGACGGACGGCGGAGAAGGATGCGGCGGATTAAGAGCTCGCACGTGCTCACGAACTGCCACGAGAAACAAGGCGCGGAGGCGTTGGCCGTGCTCCGGCTGTCCGGGTACTTCGATCGCGTCTACGGCGCCGGGCACATGGGCGACGACCTCGCCAAGCCGCAGATCGAGGCGCGTTCTGTTGTACACTGGTTCCCATACGACCCCGTTCGCGTGGTGAACGCCGTTCCTTAAGGACTTTTCCCGGCGTGTCTCTCCGCCCAGGGTCCCTCGCTTTCAATCCCCGCCCTCGACGCCTTTCAACTTTAACTGACGCCTTTCAACTCCACCGCGACAGGCGTTCGAGCTGGTCATCGGCATGGCGGGCATCGACCCCGCGCGCACGGCGTTTTTCGAGGACAGCGTGAAGAACCTCGCCGCTGCGAAGACGCTCGGGATGACCACCGTGCTCGTGCAGGCGCGTTCCCGACCGCGCGTTTTGTTTGAGACACGTGTACACAAACTCGATCCACCAATCGCGTTCACGAATCGCTGACACGCGCGCCTCCTCGTCATCCGTTCAACAAACGCAGGGCGACACCGCGAGAGAGGAGGGGCCGCGCGACGACGGGTTCGTGCCGGACTGCGTGATATCGAAGGTGAGCGTGGACGAGGTGCGGAGGGTGCTGCCGGGGTTGTGGTAGCGCGAGGTGGGCGCGGCGGGGGCTGGGCCGGCGGAGGGAAGGAGGGAAGGAGGCAAGGAGGCAAGCACGGACGGCACCCGCGAACTGATTACATTTTTCAACGCACAATTATTCAACCACCCGACGACGCGACGTCGACGCCTTCCTTCTCGATGAGCACGATGCATCACCACTAAGTAAAAGAAAAAGAACGCTCCTTCCTCCCCTCCAAAAACGAACCAACGCTCCAACCTCATGCGTTTCTAAACGAATCGTCGATCGCGTTCGCGAGGTACTTGACCTTCGCGGAGGATAACCCCGCGAGAGATATCCGCCCGTCCTTGGTCATGAAAATCTTGTGCGTACCCGTCATGCGTTCAACCTGCGCCGGGGACAGACCGGTGAAGGAAAACATCCCAATCTGCCGCGTCACGAAGCTCCAGTCCTTGTCCGGGTTCAATCGCGTCAGCTCCTCGAACAGCTCCCTGCGAACCGTCTTGATGCGGCCAGCCATCGTGCCCATCTCGTCGTTCCACCGCTGAGGGTCGAGGGTCCATACGAGCGATGACGTCGGGGTGGAGTTCATAGGCGTCAGATGGAGTTGAAAGGCGTCGAGGTGTGTCGGGATTGAAACCGAGGGGTGGGCGGAGAGACACGCCGGGAAAAGTCCTTAAGGAACGGCGTTCACCACGCCGACGCGGTCGTATGGGAACCAGTGTACAACAGAACGCGCCTGAAACAACTCCGGGTCGTTGATCACCGTCGCCGCGATCCGCGCGCCGTGCACGGGCGGGTTGCTGTACATCGCCCGCGCGATCCTGTTCATCTGCGACAGCGTATTCGTCGCGGCGGTCGCGTCGTTCAACACCGCGTTGAGCGCGCCGATGCGCTCGGCGTACAGCCCCAGGTTCTTGCTGTACGACTGCGCGCAGAAAAACTCCATCCCCATCTCCGCGAAGAGCCTCGGCGCGGCGGCGTCCTCGACGAGCGACCCGGACGCGAACCCCTGGTACGCGACGTCGAAGAACGCGACGTGATTCTTCTTCTGCATCGCGTCCGCGATCTGACGCCACTCCGCGAGCGTCGGGTCCACGCCCGTCGGGTTGTGCGCGCACCCGTGCAGCATGAAGATGGACCCCTCCTGCGCGTCGTCGATGGACTTTAAGAATCCGGCGAGGTCCAAGCCGACGGTGCTCGCGTCGTAGTACGCGTACTCGCGCCACTCCACGCCGCTGTCCGCGAGGATGTTCTTGTGGTTCCCCCACGTCGGCGACGGGAGGTAGACCGCCTTCCCCGGGAGAAACTTCGCGATGAACGCCGCGCCGACGCGCAGCGATCCCGTGCCCGAGAGCGACTGTATCGTGAGGGTCGTTCCATACAAAGCGATGGCGGGGTGGAGTTGAAAGGCGTCAGTTGAAGTTGAAAGGCGTCGAGGGCGGGGATTGAAAGCGAGGGGTGGGCGGAGAGAGACGACGGCAAAAGTCCTTAAGGATCGGCGTTCACCACGGCGACGGGGTCGTATGGGAACCAGTGTATAGAACGCACCTGTATCGTCGCCACGCGCTTCTCCGCGATCGCGGGGTGTCCCTTCCCGAGCAGAAGCTCCGCGGTCGCGCCGCAAAACTCCGCGAGCCCTTGCATCGGGAGGTACTCCTTGTCGTGCCCGGCCGCGATCATCCGTCGCTCCGCCTCGCGGACGACCTCGAGGACGTACGGCTGAAGCTCCTCGGTCCTGTACGCGCCCACGCCGAGGTTGAGCTTGTTCGGATCGTCGCACGCGCGGAACGCGACGGAGACGCCGAGGATCGGGTCCGGCGGGGACGGCTCGACGCCGCCGAGGAACGACGCCTTCGACGCGGCGGCGGACGCCTGGAATCGATGAATCGATCGCGATCCGATCGCGGGGGGGGAGGGGTGGACGTGACGTCGGGGAGGGCGAGGCGACGGAGGGACGGCGAGAAAACGTGGGCGGAGAAAACGCGTGAGGGCGCGGAAGAGCTTGGGACGCGAAGAGAAAGATTCGACGCGCCGCCGCCGCGGCGGCGGCGGCGGCGACGCGCGCGCGCGTCGAGACGCGCACCATGACGCCGCGGTGGTGACGGAGAGGAACACGCCCGAGGGCGAGGCGATGAAGAGCGCGACTCGCGCCGGCGAGCGTCGTCGCGGCGTGCATATCAGTGAAGAGGACGGAGCGCGGCGCGAACAAGTCGAAAAACGTCACGCCAGCTGATGGCCAGGCGGCATCGACGTTCAGTTCTGTCGTTCGTCTGTTCGTGATTTAATAAATCGACGCCGACGCGCGCGCGCGGGCTCGATTCGGTCGCGCCGCGCGCCGCGGACGAACGCGCGATCAAAACCTCGATGAACGCCAAGGGATATGCTGTCAAGGCTATGCCCTAAGACGACGCGACGCGTCGTGGTCGCAGAGGAAAGGCGCGCGGTGCGATGCTGCACGTAACGCGTCGCTCGCCCGCCGCCGCCGCCGCCGCCGCCGCCGCGTCGTCTCGTCTCGTCTCCCTCCCGCGTTCCGTCCGAACGCCGCCCCGCGCGCCGCGTCGCCGCGCCGCGCCATCCCAAAACCATCCCACCCGTCCCGTCCCGTCCCCGCCTCCTCTCCCTCGACGCCTCCGCCGGCCGCGTCGCGACCGATTCGCGTCTCCCTCCGTCGCTCGCTCACGCGGTCCCCTGGATGAGCGACAGGAGGTGCTTCGCCTCCGCGGCGTAGTCCACCGGCGCGCACGTCAGCACCGTGAGCCGTCGCTTCTGCTCGCCCTGGTACTCCTCCGTCTTGGACTTGAGCTTCAGTCCCCACGGCTGAGAAGTCGAAAGGCGGCAGGTAGTATTCAAAGGCGTCAGACACGGAGTCGAAAGGCGTCGAGGGAGGCGCGTCGGGATGGATCGAAACCGTGGGGTGGACGGAGAGAAACGAACGCCGGGAGAGAAAGTCCTCAAGGATTGAAGTTCACGACGCGTGCGCGGTCGTACGGGGACCGGCGTGAAGAACAGAACGCACCTTGAACTGCGCGGCTTTCACCTTGCGCTCGTACGCGGCGGGGTTCGACTCGCGCAACGCGTGCAGCTCCTCCGCGTCGCACCCGAGCATCTGGCACGCCTGTTCGTGGAAGACGTTGACCCAGCCGCCGCCGGCGTGATCGCTCACCTTGAGACGCAGGATGTACCGACGACGGCACGAGTCGTACGTCTTCTGCGTCGCTTCGCAGTACCACTTCCCCGGGGACTCCTCGACGACTTTTTTGTTGTTGCCCTCCTCGGGGCACGCGCAGTAGTACATCGGCTGGTCCGGCTTCACGAGCACCACGGTCGCGCAGCCGAGGATCCCGACCTCATACTTGTTCGTCGCCGGCGGGAGGAGCTCGGGCTGGAACGCCTTGAGGTCGACGCGCTGCGCGGGCGCGCCGGCGCCGGCGCCGCCGCGCGCCGTCGCCAGCCCCGCGCCCGCCGCCGTCGTCTCCGCGGTGGACCCTTCAGCCGCGTACCAAGCTCGGAGCGCGTCCGCCTTGGCCGCGATGTCGTCGCCGGACGGCTCGACGATCAACTCCGATCGCTGCACCGTGGAGAGCGACACGCCGTTGTAGTCCGTGACGCGCAAGCCGCGGAGCGCGACGACGGCGCCGATCTCGTTCGCGAGGCGTTCGCCTTGCTCCGTCGCGAGCTCGCCCCAGAGCGTGAGCGACACCGTCTTCTTCGTGTCGTCGAGGAGCGTGATGTCGCGCACCTGGACCTCGGAGTCATCGCTCTTGCGGCGGATGGCGCGGAGCTCGCCGACGGCGGCGACGCACGCGAGGACGTCGACTGAGGGTGGTCGAGGGGAGGGAGGGTCCGCGCGAGGCGTCAGAAGACTTGGTCGGGGGGAGTTGAAAGGCGTCGCGGGCGGGGATTGAAACCGAGCGGACGCGGTCGTATGGGGACCAGTCAGCGCGTATGAATAAGAACGCACCCGACCCGCGCGTCCCGATCTTCGTCGGCAACGCGTCGATCGCGACGAGCTCGTACGCCCTGGACATTTTGGACACGTCGCACGGGTCCTCGCACGGCGAGATGTCGCACTTCCCGTCGAGGGACATCTCGTAGTCGTTGTTGACGTTGCTGTACTGACGGTTCGCCGGGCGAAGCGACCCGCGAGAGACGTAGTACACCTTGCCGACTTCCATTATCGCGTCGTACTTGTCGATGGCGTCCTTCCACATCGTCGCCTGGATCGCGGTGCCGTTGTCGTCGACGAGCTCGATCGTGCAGACGCGGCCCTCGCCGCGGGCGTTGCGGAACGTGCGGACGGCGCCCTTGGACGCGAGCTTGGCCTTGATCGTCCAGTTGCCTGCGTAATCGAAGGAAGGAAGGAAGGAAGGAAGGAAGGAAGGAGCGGCGACGACGTAAGAGGTTGAGTCGTCGCGATCGATCGATGGATTTCAAAAAAAAAATCGATCTGACGCGACAGATTTATCGCGTCTGACGTCGACGATTCGACGCGGACGCACCGGTGTACGGGTTCAGGGACGCGATGGACTGCGTCTTCTTCCCGCTGGACGTCGGCGCCGCGCCTCCGTCCACCTTGCGCTTCTTCGCCGCGGGCGTCTCCGTCTCGGCGTTCTCCTTGTACTCGTCCGTGAGCACGCAGTCGTCTACGATCTCGAACTCGCTCACGAACGCCCTCTTCTCTTCCGATTTATACCGCACGTCCGTCAACTTGAGCACGGCGTGGGGTTTCACGAACCCGCCCGCGAGCTTGGAGGAGAGCTCCGGGGAGAACATCGCCTCGAGCTTGTCCGCGCCGTCGTTGAGCATCGCGCTGAATGATCGTCGTGGAAGGACGGAGAGGGTTTGTTTAAGAGGGAGGGGAGGCGTCAGGCTTCATTCGTGCGTTCGGGAAGTTTGAAAACGCGCTGCAGTGTGCCTACGCGCGGACGGTGAGTAATCCGAGGTCGTTCGCATCGCGCGCGCCGGGAAACGCGCCTGAAGTGCGCGGACTTGTCGGCCGCCTTGAGGTTGAGGACCTGAGAAGGGAGGAGGAAGGCGTCGAGCGTGAGATAAGCGCGGGAGGGGAGGAGGAGGGACGTCGCGCGCGGGGTATCGAGCGTCGTCGCCGGCGCGCGACGCTCGCGCTTTTTCGCTCGCGTCCGATGATGCCTGCGGGCGAGAGACGACGTGTGCGCGCATTTCGAAATTTCCCGTGCGAGACGCCGACGCCGGAAACGCGCGCGCACCTGGAGCGAGACGTCGCCGAGGGCGCCGTCGGTCGTGTCGCGGATGCGGCGGATGCCGCCGGGGGTGACGCAGCCGGCCATTTCGTGTGAGGGGCGGTGAGCGTGAGGTCGGCGCGAGGTCGTTGTGCCGTCCGCCGGCGATGGCATCGGTCGGCGTTCAAAAAGAACAGCAGCGGAGAAATTTATGGGCACCCTGACGCGAGCCGCACGCCGGCCGCGGCCGCGGGGCCGCGGCAAAGAACTCGCCGTTACGAACGACGACGACGACGACGACGCCACTCCTCCCCGGCGCGCGAGGGCGCGCGAGGGCGCGCGCGTCATGGGCTGGGGCAAGAAGAAGAAGAAGCCGAGCGCCGCGGACGACGCCGCGGCGGCCGGGGGCCGGCTCGAGAGCGCGGAGGAGCCCGCGGTGGTGGACGCGAGCGCGAGCGCGAATGATGCCGCGTCGAGATCGTCGTCGAAGAAGAGCTCGTCGTCGTCGAGCGGCGGCGCCGGCGCGTCGAAAGCGCGGACGAAGGGCGCGAAGCTCCTGAGGGCGTCCGAGATCGGCGAGGCGCTCGCGGTCCTCGAGGAAGGCCTGGACGAGTCCCCGCACGACTCCGTCGCGCTGCACGCGCTCATCGCGCGATGCCACGTCGCGAACCAAGACTGGGAGGCCGCGACGGACCACTTCGTCGCCGCGCTCGACGACGCGGGCGACGCGATGAACCTCGACGCGTCGAACCGCAACAGCAACAACCCGCTCGACGCGGAGTTCTTCTACGCGATGGGCGACGCGGCGTTCCGTCGCGGGATGCACCCGGAGTGCGCGTTCGCGTACGAGTCCGCGCTCGAGTTTGGCGAGAAGCGAATCCCAAAGAGCGTGTCCATCTCTTTGGTGCACTTCCACTTGGGCGCGACGCGTCGCGCGCTCGGCGATCACGACGCCGCGCGGGAGTCCTTCGCGAAGGTCACGAACCCGCTGGAGGTATCCCTCGCGCGCGCGGACTTGAAGTGCGAGGAAGCGGCGTGCTTCGAGGCGATGGGCCTCGTCGAGGAGGCGGAGCGATGCGTGCGGGAGGCGGGGGAGGATCCGAGCGGCCCGCCGGTGAAGGCGCGTTCTGTCATCACACTGGTTCCCATACGACCCCGTCGCCGTGGTGAACGCCGATCCTTAAGGACTTTACCACCCGGCGATTTCTCTCCGCCCAGGGTCCCTCGCTTTCAATCCCGACGCACACACCTCGACGCCCGCCTTTCAACTCCGCTTCTGACGCCTTTCAACTCCACCCCGACGTTCAAACGCTCGTATGGAACGACCCCAAGGCGGAGAACGTGTCGAAAGTGGCGTGGGCGCGGTGGCGCGATAACCCGGACAGCTCGGACGCGGAGGCGCGCGCGATCGAGGACCTGACCGCGTGCCTCGCGAAGCGGCCGCCGATGCGCGCGAAGGACCAGGCGGAGACGCACGCGCGCCTCGGCGCGGTGTACGCGAAGAGGAAAGAGTATCAGTCGGCGGAGAAACATTTAGGCGCGTCGTGCGCGAAAGCGCCGGACAATCATCACGCGTGGCTTCAGCTCGGCGAGTTGTACAGGGAGACGAACCGCGACGAGATGGCCATGCGCGCGTTCACGAAGTGCGCGGAGATCGACGAGAGATGCGGCGGCGCGTACAGGGCGATGGCGCAGATGTTTGAAAAACACGGGCAAACGTCGAGGGCGATGGCGATGTACGATAAGATGGACCCGAACGACCCCAGGGTGCTGAAGCGCAAGGACGAGATCTTGCTGAAGTGCGCGCTGCGCTTGCAGAGGGCGTTTCGCGGGCACAAGGCGCGGAAACAAAACGCGTTCAAAGGCGGCGGCGCGCGGCAAGTCGCGCGGAATTACGGCGAGCGCGCGCCGCTTAGAGATCCGGACGGCGATAAGGCGCGTTCTATACAACACTGGTCCCCATACGACCGCGTTGGCGTGGTGAACGCCGATCCTTAAGGACTTTTCCCGGCGCGTCTCTCCGCCCATCCCTCGCTTTCAATCCCCGCCCTCGACGCCTTTCAACTCCGCTTCTGACGCCTTTCAACCCCACCCCGATATCATCGCTCGTATGGAACGACCCAAAGAGCGTCATAGGGTATGGAGTCCGCGGGGGCTCCCTCGGCGCGCGCGGCGGGGGCGAGACGCTGACGCTGGAGCGGTTCGACCTCGGCGTGACGGCGTTCGGGAGCGCGATTCCGCTCGCGAGGGAGGCGAACTTCAAGTGGCGGACGGTGTCGTTGCAGGACAAGGGACCGGGGAAGCACAAGCCGAGGGAACGGAAACCGCTCGGGTCGTCTTTCTTTTGACGACGCCATTTAGCAGCTTTAGACGGACGGATACAGTACCTTTACGATATAACTTATACACTGAGTACTTTCGTACCTCGCTAGCTAGTACGCTCGACGCGTGCGCGAACTCACGTCTGCGCGCGTCGTCGACGCCGTCGCCCCCGCGCCCCTGATTTCAGGCTGGCGCGGGCGCGGGCGCGGGCGCGGGCGGCGGGGGCGTCTCCGTGCGCTCCACCCCCTCCGGCGAGCTCGTCAGGCTCGAAACCGACGTCCGCCGCGGCGTCGGCGACCCTTTCCCGCTCCCGCCGCCGCCGCTGCTGAAACTCAACCGCCCGCCGCTCAGCCGCATCATGGACGCGACTTTCCTCCCGGCGCGCTTGAAAAACCCCTCGTACTTTTTCTTCAATTCCATCTGGGTCTCTTTCAGCGTCGGCCCGCCGCCGCCGTCCGCCTGCATCCACGCGTGCTCCAAAGCCTCCTTCGCGCTCAGACGCGCTCTCGGGTCTTTGTCTAGGAGCCGCAGCACGAGGTCTCGCGCGCTCGGGGACAGTTTCGCCCAGACGGGCTGGTCGAACTTCACCGGAGACGACTTCACGAGCTCGTACAGCTCCCGGTCGTCGTCCTCTATTTTCGGCGTGAACGGCGCGCAGCCGCAGAGGAGAATGTAAAGGATGACGCCGCACGCCCACGCGTCCACTGGCGCCGCGTGCGCGCTCGAATCCCCAGGAGTTGACGCCAACACTTCCGGCGCGGCGTACTGCGGCGTCCCCGCGTTCGCGCCTCTCAGCCGGTCCTTCGCTTTCTTCGCGAGGCCCAAGTCGCAGATCTTCACGGAGCTCACGTCGTCCTTCGCGCCGAGGAGCAAGTTCTCCAACTTCATGTCCCTGTGCGTGATGCCCTCCTCGTGGAGGTACTTGACCCCACGCAGCACCCTGCGAAAGATCCCTCGCGCCATGTCCTCGTTGTACTCGCCATCGTTCGCGATCGCGTCGAGGAGGTCCCCGCCCGCGAGGTACTCCGTCGCCATGTACACCTTGTCGACGCCGCGCGACTGAGGGTCGCTCCATACGAGCGTATGTCGGGGTGGAGTTGGAAGGCGTCAGTCGGAGTTGAAAGGCGTCGAGGGCGGGTATTGAAAGCGAGGTGTGGGCGGAGAGAAACGCCGGGAAAAGTCCTTAAGGATCGGCGTTCACCACGCCGACGCGGTCGTATGGGGACCAGTGTATAGAACGCACCTCGTCTCGTTCGTGGAAGAATTCGTGGAGCCGTATCACGTGCTCGTCGTTCAGCTTCGCGAGCAACCCGATCTCGTACCACACGTTCGCGCGCTCGCTCTCGCTCCTCTGCGTCATGTCCATGATCTTCATCGCGACGCGGACGCCGTCGCTGACGCGCGTCGCGAGGTGCACGACCGCGTAGCCGCCCGCGCCGATCTGGGATCGCAGCGCGTAGAGCTCGTGAACGTCCGCGGCGGTGGCGCGCGCGGGCGGGCCGGTGGCGCGCGCGGGCGCGGCCATGTCGAGGACGGCGTGCTGGACGGAGGAAGGGGAGGGAGGGGGGGGGAGCGATGGGTCGGGAGGATGGACGGCGGCGCGTCCGGGCGAGGAGGGGAGGGGGGGCGCGGGGTGTTGGCGCGAAATCGCGGGCGCGCGTCTCCGACACGCGCGGCCAGCGCGGCAATCCGAACCGAATTTGGGATGAGTCGCGAGGTTCGGCGCGAGGCGAGGCGACGCACCGCGCTGTTCGACGGGCCGCACCCCATGCCGCGCCCCATGCGCGCGGTCGATCTCCGCGGAAGCGCGAGACGCCGCCGCGCGCGAGACGTCGCCGCCCGGGGCGACCGAACCTGCCGTCGAGGAGGGAGGGAGCTCGAGCGTCGAGACGACCGGCTCGCGAAAAGTCGCGCGAGTGATAAAAATTTATCTAGTCTAAAAAATTATCTAGCTAGTCCAACGCGTCCACCGTCGACGGCGGCGCGTGAATCGTCACCCCTCGTCCTCGTCCGCGAAAAGCTCCCCCTGACACCTGCGCATTGTGAATCCGCGCGGGAAATCCGCGTGCGCGCCGTCGTCCATCGCCGCCGTCGACCCGCGCATCTCCGCGATGGCCATCTGCGAGTACCGCACGTCGTACCGAGCCTCCGGCGGGAGCTCGCTCCTCTGCACGACCACCGGGGGGGTGCCGTCGTGGCAGTCTAAGTACACCTGCGGGTCGCTCTCCATGTGCGTCGCCTGGCAGCACTCGCACATGCCGCCGATGAGAAATTCTCGGTACCGAGCGCGAAGTAATTGTGCGGGGTCGTAGGACGCGGCGTACGCCTTCGAAGGAAGTTGAAAGGCGCGATCGGGTGGAGTTGAAAGGCGTCAGGCGGAGGAGTTGAAAGGCGTCGAGGTGTGTCGGGGCGGAGAGAAACAATGCACACGCCGCCGGGAGAGAAAGAAAGTCCTCAAGGATCGGCGTTCACGACGCGGTCGCGGTCGTACGGGAACCGGCGTGAGAAAAAGTTCTTAAGGAATGACGTTCACAACGCGGACGCGGTCGTATGGGGACCAGTGTGGAAATAGAACCCGGGCGGGCCCCACCTCGCCCGTCAACGGTAGCCGCTGCCGGCACTCCGGGCACGACAGCGGGACGCCCTTCGCGTCGCACGTCGCGAACCACGGCGCGAGGCATCCGCGGTGGAAGACGTGCCGACACGGCAGACCCATCGCGTCGGCGTCCGAGGGGCCCGGCGTCTTCGTCTCGCCTTCTTCGCTTCCCTTCGTCTTCGCCTCTTCGCCGCCGGGGTGGAGTTGAAAGGCGTCAGGTGGAGTTGAAAGGCGTCGCGGGCGGGGATTGAAAGCGAGGTGTGGGCGGAGAGATGCGCCGGGCAAAGTCCTTAAGGATCGGCGTTCACCTCGCGAACGCGGTCGTATGGGGACCAGTGTATAGAACGCACCTCCTTCGCCGCCGCCGTCGCCGACGACGACGACGCGTTCGCGGCACACCGCGCACGCGTCGTCCCCCTCCGCCCCTCCCCTCACGCCGACGATCCCGTCGCCGAACCGCTCGAACACGACGTCGCCGTCGCCGACGCACCCGGGCGCGACGGACTGCATCATCGCCTCGATCCCCGGCTTTCCCGTCGGCGGCCGCCCGAGGACGCCGCATCGCTGGACGACGACCATCGGAGGTCGCGCGTCGTCGTCGTCGTCCCTCGCGCCAAGGCCCTCCGTCTTCTCCAGCCACGCGCTCGCCGCGTCTACGCGGTCGAGGATGTCGGAGCGATCGCGGTCCTCCTCCGCGCTGATGCCCTCGCGTCGCGCGAGCGCGTCGCGCACCATCTCGCGCGCGACTGAGGGTCGAGGGTCCATACGAGCGATGATATCGGGGCGGAGTTCAAAGGCGTCAGAAGCGGAGTTCAAAGGCGTCGAGGTGTGTCGGGATTGAAAGCGAGGGACCCTGGGCGGAGAGAGACGCCGGGAAGTAAAGTCCTCAAGGATCGGCGTTCACCACGCGTGCGCGGTCGTATGGGGACCAGTGTGATATAGAACGCGCCGGACGTCCGCACCGAATCGTCGCGGCCGGGCCCCGGACGATGATTCGGGTGCACGAGGTTCACCGTCCGAATCGACTTGATCCCGGGGATCCCGTCGAACTCCACCTTGACGCGGAACGGCACGCCGCCCTCCGCGGCGACTGTCGCGTCGTCGAGCGACCCGACGCCGACGACGCGGCCCACCGCGCCGTTGAGCGCCATCCCGGCGTCGGACGTCAGGTGGACGCACTTCACGACGTCGCCCACGCGCCGCGACGCGTTGTCGCGAATGAGCTGCGGCGCGAACGCGGCGAAGCGGTCGGCCATGACGGAGGAGGAGGAGGAGGAGGAGGAGGAGGAGGAGGAGGAGGAGGACGCGCGCGCGCGCGGTCTCGTATCGGTCGCGATGAAGAAGGCGCGACGCGCGCCGCGGTGAGTGATGAGATCCGACGTGCACACTCGTCCACCTGTCCGAGAAAACTTTCAAAGTCTTCAAAAGTTCTTCCGCTGCTCTACTCGTATCCGCCGGCGCTCGCCCGCCCGCGCTCCCTCCCCTCGCGTGCCCTTCACGCCTCGCACCACACGACGACGTGCAAGAGGTGGTCGCTCCCCTTCAACGTCGCGTGCGCGCGCTCGAGCTCGGTGTCGAGCTCTAGCGCGACGCCCTGACACACCGCGCGCGTCGGCGCGAGCACCCCCAGTCCCGCCAACGCCGAGCGCACCGTAGAGGTCCTCGTCGTCGTCGTCGTTCTCTCTCTCTCTCTCTCCCCGCCAGGGTCCTCCGCCTCCTCCTCCTCGCGCATCACGACAAACACGGGCGCGGAGACGATCTTGACCTCGCCGAGGCACTTCACCTCCCTCCTCGCGTCGCCGGCGAGGAGATAGAATCGCACGGGGACGCGTCTTCTCGCGTCGGATCGCTTCCCGCTCCCTCCTCCGCTCGAAGACTCCGCGCCTCCGCGACGGGATCCTAACGCTTCCTCCGCTCGCCACGCCAAGCGCCGCTCGCCGTCGACGACGCTGCGCCATAAGTCCGCCTGCGCGGCTCGCGTCATGGACATCACCGCCGCGGCGCTGCCTCTCGCGACGCACATCGCCTCCTTCAGGTCGTTGAAGAAACGCGCGCGGACGCTCTCTTCGTCGTCGCAACGTATCAACCCGTCCGCGTCGTTTTCCTTCGCTGCGATTGGTCGAGTGAAGACACGTGTCAGTATCTCATGCATGGTATTGGCGGATATATATCATTCCCACGTGTCAAAACGAACGAAACGAACGAGCGAACGAACGCGAGGTTCCCGGCGCGTGGAGAGAAGGAAGGAGCAGTCTCACCGTCCTCCCCGCCGCCGCCGCCGCCGCCGCCGCCGCCGCGGGCCCCGTACGCGCGGTAGTGTATCGTCAGCTTCCACGGCAGCGTCCCGTGCGTCTCGTCGCTCGCGCCGCACGTCACGTCGCGCAGCACCCCCGCGGTCATCCCCCACCGAAGCGGCGTGCCCTCGTGGTCGAACCACGGCGTCGCCGTCGCGGCGTCTGCGGCGCGAGCGGTCGAGGGCGTCCGCGCGTCAGTCGCGCGTCAGGGCGCGCCATCGGTGGATAGACTATGGTGCGCGCGTGGCAAAACGTGCGGTCGAAAGCGCGCGAAAGAAGAACGAACGCCTTAAGGAACGGCGTTCACCACGCACGCGAACGGGGTCGTATCGTATGGGGAGCAGTCTCAGTCTCATCTCACCGACGCCCGGCGGCAGCGACCTCGCGAAGTGCGTCGCGCATCGACCGTCGCGCGCGTGCCACAGAGGCAGGAACGCGCCGCGCGGGACGAGCGCGTAGAGCGGCGGCGGCGGCGACATCTCCGCGACCTCGTCGCGCGCGAGGCGGATCTCGCACGGGACCGCGCCGCGCCAGAGCTCGCTCTGGAGGAGCTCGTCCGTCGACGGCATCGTGACAGCTGTGATGGAACGCGTCGGTCGTCTACCGACGCGCCCCCGTCGGGTCGGGTCCTCCCCCGCGACGCACTCCTTCGATGATCCTTCGACGCCTTCCCTCGCCGTCCGTCCCGTCTCCGTCCTCCTCGCGCGCCGGCGTATCGAGCCGCGCGCGCTCACCCTCCTCCTCCTCCTCCTTCCCGCCGCGTCGTCGTCGTCGTCGTCTTGTCCTTTTCGTCGACGAACGCGCGCAGATCTGGCGGAAGCGAATATCCGCACGCCTCGACCGCGGACGCGAAGCCTCGGAGGACGACGGGGCAGTTGGACGCCGCCCACGCCCTGGACGACGCGTCCGTGTTGAGCTTGTGGAACGCGGCGTACGCGGCCGCGAGCGCGCCGAGCTCGAGCGCGACCGCGTACGCGACGAGCTCGCGCGCGCGTCGCATCTGAGGGGCAGTCTGTCTGTCGCTTCGAGTCGAAAAGTTTTTCCGAGAAATGCAGAGCGCGGCGACCCGTTCGCTGGCATTCCCGACGGACGCGGGGCGTCGTCCGCGTCTCCGCTCGCGAGCGCGCGCGCGATGCCGCGCCCCGCGAACGACGACGCGGGCGCCGCCGCGGTCGCGAACGGCGACGACGGGTGTGCGCCCTCTCGCGCCTCTCCGTCGTTCGTCGTCGTCGTCCGCGACGAGTGTTGAATGAATGAATTCGCGAGATCGAATCGATCGCCCTCGCCTCGCCTCGCCTCTGACGCCTCCCCTCCCCCCTCCTCCTCCCCCCCACCCCCCAAAAATCTACAGACGCTTCTCCTATCTGGACCCCGCGCCCGCCGGCGCGCCGCCGCTCTTCGCGTCCGCGCTCGTCCCCGTCGACGGCGCGCGCGACCCGAGCACGACGCTGCGCGTGACCGAAGACGTCGTCGCCTTCGCGGGAGGCGCGGTCCATCGTTTGGAGTGGTGCGCGGACGGCGCGCACCTCGCGGTGGAAGCGCGCCCGCGCTCCAGACCGATGCACTACTTCGACGAGCTCGGGACGGAGCCGCCCGAGCGCGACGGCGTCGTGCAGGTGTGGCGCTTCGACGACGGACGACGACGAGGCCATCGACCGGGCGACGGCGAATCCGTGGAATCCGTCGGCGCGAACGCGTCAGGCGCGTTCTATACACTGGTCCCCATACGACCGCGTTGGCGTGGTGAACGCCATTCCTTAAGGACTTTTCCCGGCACATCTCTCCGCCCATCCCTCGGTTTCAATCCCGACATACATCGACGCCTTTCAACGCCAACTGACGCCTACGAACTCCACCCCGACGTTCGCTCGTATGGAACGACCCTCAGCCGTGCTCGGCATCTCGCACTCCGGCGGCGACGTCTTCGACATGAAGTGGGCGCGATCGCCGCCCTCCGAGGTCGCCGCGCTCGAGGGCGCGGACGCGACGCGTCACGACGACGCCGCGAATACCCTGGGCGTGCTCGCCGTCGCGCTCGAGACGGGCGCCGTCGAAGGTGCGTTCTACGTCGCGCCGGTCCCAGCAATGCGACCGCGTCATCACACTGGTTCCCATACGACCCCGTTCGCGTGGTGAACGCCGATCCTTAAGGACTTTTCTTCCCGGCGTGTCTCTCCGCACATCCCTCGCTTTCAATCCCCGCCCGCGTTGCCTTTTAACTCCACCCCTGACGCCTTTCAACTCCACCCCGACGGAACGGAACGGAACGTCCATCGATCGAAGCGTGGCTCGTGCCGTCTCCCGCGAGCGTCTCCGCGACGCATCGAACGCCGCCGCCGACGATCTCGCCCAACGTGTGCTTCCGCGGCGTCCTCCCGCCCAGCGCCGGCGTCGCGCTCGCGCTCGACTGGGCGTGCACGAAGCCGAAGCGCCGGCTCGCGGTGGCGACGAGCGGTGGGTGCGCGTATCTGTTCACGCTGGACGGCGGTGAGACTAGACTGAGACTGCTCCCCGTACGACCCCGTTCGCGCGCGCGGTGCCGTTCCTTAAGGACTTTTCCCGTCGTCACTCTTCACCCGCGCTTCCCTTTCAACGTTTGACCGGTAAGACGTTCGACTGACCGATCGCTTCAGACGCGACGCCGATGGAGCCGACGATTCGAATCGCGTCGACAGGGTACCCGCAGCGATCCATCGCGTGGGCGCGGGATCCGAGCGAGCCGGAGGATCCGGACTTCGAGGACGACGGGCGAAGCGGGGGGGGGACGACCGCGACGACGACGACGACGACGACGGCGGCGACGACGGCGGCGGCAGCGGAGGCGGCGGCGGCGGAGGCGGCGAGCGAGAAGACGAAGAAGACGAAGAAGACGAAGAAGACGCCGGCGCCGGAGGCGGAGGAGGCGGAGCCTCCCGCGAAGAAAAAACGCGGCCGACCGAAGAATGTCAAATCGTCGGAGACGGCCGAAGGCGCCGCCGCTCTCGCCGCCGCCGACGCGGAGACCGCGACGCTCAAGCCCGCGTCGCTGCGAACCGTCCTCATGATGTGCGGGCACTGCATGACGTCGCCGGTGATTTACGACACCCGAGACGTCTTCTCTCCGATCGTCGGCAACAGGGAATTTTTCAGCGGCGGGACATTCCTCCTCGCGTGCGCGTGGCTCCCGCGCGGGATCCTTGTGGTGCGTTCTATACAAACGCTTTTCACCCATAGCTCGGTTTCAAATAATATTTGATCGCGTCTCCTTTCAACTGACCGATGAACTATTTTTGTATGGAACCTTCGACCCTCAGTCCGCCGCGGACAACGGCGCGGTCGCGACGCACGACCACTTCAACCCCGAGCTCGTGGACGTCCGCGACGGCCACGTCCCCGCGAAGCAGATCATCGAATACGCGTGGGGCGTCGACGCGAAGAAACCGGGCGGCGGGAACAAGTTCAACCACGAGTCCGGCGGCGTCGCGGGCTCGGCGTGGAGCGTCGACGTCTCCGCTGTCGGCGACCGCGGGATAGCGCTCGTCGCGGTCGGCACGGGCAAGGTGTGTACACTGGTCCCCATACGACCGCGTTGGCGTGGTGAACGCCGATCCTTAAGGACTTTGCCCGGCACATCTCTGCGCCCACCCCTCGCTTTCAATCCCCGCTCTCGACGCCTTTCAACTCCATCTGACGCCTTTGAACTCCACCCCGACGTTCGCTCGCACACAAAGGTGGGCGCGTGCGTTGCGATGGTGCACGCGGGCTATGGGAACAAGACGATTCACGTGCGGAAGAAGACGCGGCTGAGAGACCTCGGCGCGGCGATCGATCTGACGCCCGTGGGGGGGTCGAGGAGAGAAGCTCTGGCGGCGGCGACGAAGGACGCGGCGGGAGGCGGGGACGACGACGCGAATTTGGATTCGGCTGACGCGGAGTCGCCGTCGTTCGGGCAGCGACCCGGCGCGCCCGCGGGGGACGCGCACGCGGTGCGATGCGTGCGGTGGCGGCCGGCGACAGACGACGACGACGGGGACGAGACGCGCTGGCTCGCGTTCGGGGACGACGGCGGGTACCTGCGGTTCCAACGGTTCGACGCGCGCGGGATGAGGAAGACGGCGGAGTTGCTCCGTCAGACGGAGGACTACTGACTGACGACGCTCGATTCGATTCGATTCTCGACTCTGTTCGATCGTATTCGATTTCATGCGCTCACTAGTTACTAGGGCCCTACAGTGTTCACGCCGCTCTTGTTCCTTTCTCACGGCGTCTTCGGCCGAGCCTTGTCCTCGACGCGATATTCGTGCTGCGCGTGGCACAGCTCTCCGAGCGCCGCGAAACTTTTTCCCGGGTTCGCGCGGCGACACAGCGCGCACACGGAGACGACATCGGGCAGCACTGTACCGTCATCACCCGCGTCATAGATCGTCTCTCGCGCGCGCGCGAGCTTCGCTCGCGTGTCCTTGATTCGGCATCGCACGCAAAACGCGTGTCCGCACGCGTTCAACGCGATCAACGGTCTCGTCTCGAGACAGATGGGGCACTCGCCTTCTTCGTGGACGCGCGTCACCGGCCCGCACGCCTTGTCCATCTCCATCGCGCAGTTGCCACTGCAAAAGCCGCCGTGGCACTCCATGAGCCACGACGGCGCTTCCTCTTCGCACGCCATGCACGGTACGAGCGCGCACGCCTCGTCGCCGCACGAGATGTCTGGGCAGTACAACCCGGGCTCGTCCTCCCAGTTTTCGCCTTGATGCGCGCGGTGGCCGCACGTGCACACCTCGTCCCATACCTCATCCTCCTCGTCCTCGTCGATGGTATAGCACTCGCAGAGGCATTGCACCCTGCATGCACCACTCCCGGAGCACGGTGGGAAGCTCTTCTTCTTCTGAGACCTACTCGTAGTGGCGCGCGCGTTAGCTACGAGATACCCGTTCACGTGCTCGCGCAAGAAGGCCTGGTCGATGGAGACCTCGAACTCCTTCTCGAGCGCCTTGTGGACGTCCTTGATAGACGTCTCTTCTAGGTCAGATTCCGCGAGGATGACGTTAAGGCGCGCGACGATTGCCTCGGCGTTCTCGGGAGCGGGCGCCATGCGGACGCGACGATAAGGTGCCGAGAATTGTGGCGGTCGCGTTCATCGGCTCTTTCTTACCGATGAAAAACCAGTGAAAAACGACAGCTGTCGGATTTCGAAAGGAGCTTTTGACTGGCTTTTGAAAGGAAGCTCAGGCGGCTCGACGTAACAACTGCCTCACACTCCGCGACGCGCGGCGGATGGGGCGACCTCCGACGATGGCGCGCGCGCGAAGGGTCGCCCGAAGAAAGACCGCGGCGCCGTGCGTCGCGATGATCGCGGGCGCGCTGATGCTGTTCTTCGCGTTCGCGGTGCTCGCGCCCGCGCCGACGACGGAGTCCCGCGCGGCGACGATCGCGCGCGAGGATCCGCGCACGACGCGATCGGCCACCCCGTCGGAAGGAGGAGGAGGAGGAGGAGGAGGAGGAGGGGGGGATCCCGCGCCGGCGGCGCGACGGGACCTCGGCGCCGCGACGACGACGACGACGACGACGACGAAGACGGTCGCGCCGCCGGCGGCGGCGAACGCGACCGCGCGGGCGTCGCGGTCGTCGTCGTCGTGGTCGCGCGCTCGCGCGGCGAAGAAAACGTCGAGGAAAGGTTCCGGATCGCGATCGAACGCCGCCGCGAAGTCGTCGCCGACGCCGAATGAACCGCCGCCGCACTACGAGCCGTTCGACTACCAACCGCGCGAGGGCTTGGACGACGCCGCGGTGAACGTCACGAAGACGCAGTACGCGGCGGGGCCGGAGGACCTGCGCGAGGTGCGCTGGACGAAAAAGACGGGCTTCGTCCTCGCCGGCGGCGGCTACGGGAACCAGTCGCACCACGTCATCACGCTCGCGCCGACGGAGAAGAACATGGGGTGGCACCTCGCGCATCGCGTCGTGAAGATCGTCAAGTACACGATCGAGCGGCACTACCCGGAGCTGATCGACGTCGACGACCCGAAGGTGAAGCCGTTCAGCGTGCTCTTCACCGTGAAGGTGAGAAGAAGAAGCCCGGATGAGACTGGTTTCCGTACGACCCGACCGCGTTCGTTCGCGCGGCGAACGCCGATCCTTAAGGACTTCGCCCGCCGTTCCTTCGTACCCCTACGTACGTAACCCTAAACACAAATCCTAACGAAATCCCCCTCCATAAATCGCATCGCCGCCGCGCAGGACGCGCCGTGGACGCGGTGCTCGGACGAGTCCTACGCGCAGAAGCACTGCGACTTCGACGCGTGGGCGCCGGTGTGGGCGTTCGGCTCGCGGCCTAAGGTGCGTTCTATACACTGGTTCCCATACGACCGCGTTGGCGTGGTGAACGCCGATCCTTAAGGGCTTTTCCCGGCGTTCCTCTCCTCCCTCCCCTCGCTTTCAATCCCCGCCCTCGAGGCCTTTCAACTTCAACTGACGCCTATGAACTCCACCCCGACGTCGCTTCGTATGGAACGCCCCTAAGAACGCGTCGTATCTCCCCGCGGTGAAGCCCGCGCCGCTGATCACGCTCGTGGACTGTTACATGGAGCGCGTGAACCCGAACCCGAACCCGAACCCGCCGCCGCCGCCGCCGAGTACGACGAACGGCACCACGGCGCCGCCGGGGCCGAAGGTGAGACTGCTTCCCATACGACCCCGTTCGCGTGGTGCACGCCGTTCCGTAAGGACTTTTCCCGTCGTCACTCTTCACCCGCGCTTCCCTTTCAACGTTTGACCGGTAAGACGTTCGACTGACCGATCGCTTCACCCACCCAGATCGTCGACCCGGACCGACCGCACTGCGCGTTTTTAAATCGCGTCCCCGAGGGAATCAAGTACGCGCGAATGCGGCGGTGCCGCCACGGCGAGAACAACGCGCACCCGGCGTGTAACCCGTACACGGGCAAGGCTGGGCTGTTCACGCTGAGCGCGGTGCGGAACGCGTCGCTGTACGAGTGGGACAATCTCATCCCCAAGGCGTTTTGGCGCGGGAACGACTTTTGGTTCTTGGGCGTGGGGTACAAAGACCGGAAACCCGCGAGCGCGTTCTACCTCCACCGCGTGCTCAAGGAACCGAGCCTGCGGCACCGCGTCGGGCTGATGCGCGCGTACTTGAACCCGCCCGGCGGCGGCGAGCGCAAGATCGGCCCGCGCACCGCGGCGGTGTTCCAATCGCTGTTAGACCCCGACCTCGTGGACGCCGCGTTTTTCGACTGGGGCAAGTACACCAGCGCGGAGGAGCGCGCGAAAGACGGCGAGCTCATGGGCGCGGACGTCCTCGAGCGCGCGGACGAGGAGTACACGGCGAGGTACAAGTACCTCCTCGACGTCGGCGGCGGCGGCGGGACCACGTTCACCGGGACGATCGCGAAGGTGCGTCCCATACACTGGTTCCCGTACGACCGCGTTCGCGTGGTGAACGCCGATCCTTAAGGACTTTTCCCGGCGCATCTCTCCGCCCACCCCTCGGTTTCAATCCCCGCCCTCGGCGCCTTTCAACTCCACCTGACGCCTATGAACTCCACCCCGACATTCGCTCGTATGGAAGTTGTCCATGCCGGGCGTGCTGCTGCATCACGAGACTTCGATGAAGGACTCGTATCACGACTACCTCACGCCGTGGACGCACTACGTGCCCGTGCGCAACGACCTGAGCGACTTGCGAGAGAAGGTGGAGTGGTGCGAGGCGAACGACGCCAAGGCGAGGGAGATATCAGCGAACGGCGCGAAGTTTGTCGAGGCGTTTCGAACGCCCGAGGTGCGTTCTATACGCTGGTTCCCATACGACCGCGTTGGCGTGGTGAACGCCGATCCTTGAGGACTTTGCCCGTCGTCTCTCTCCGCTCACACCTCGCTTTCAATACCCGCCCTCGGCGCCTTTCAAATTCAACTGACGCCTTTCAACTCCACCCCGACGTTCGCTCGTATGGAACGACCCCGAGTTTCTCTCAATGTACAACGACGAGTACCTCGGGAAGCCGTTGGGGGAGTACCTGCTCGCCGCGCGGGACGGGACGCTGCGGGGTCATCGCGGGGTGGGGGCATCGCGTCGGCGTCGGCGCGACGGGGGAGATGCGGGCGGGGACGCGGCGGAGGCGGAGGCGGACGCGACGAGGGGGGAGGACGATCTGAAGCGACGGGAGGTACGATGAAGGAAGTCGACGCCTCGCCCCGGGCGTCTGTCGGCGCGAATAGAACATCGATCGAGGTGACGACTTAATCAGTCGGCGAACATGATATGATACCCTTAGTTAGACTATTAGTAGCGTCCTCGGCGTCCGTCTCCCCGCACCGCGCGCGTCCCACTACAGACCGCTCAGCGCGTCGAACAGCGCGCCGCCGCCGTTCGAAGCGCGCTTCTTCTCGTTCACCCCCCACGCCACGCAATAGTGCGCGAGCATCATTCGAAACTCCTCCACCTCGTCCAACATCTCGAGCCGCGTCATGCGAAGATGATCGCTCGCGTCGCGCCGCGCCAGTCGATCGCACGCGTCGTTCATGTCCATCGCGCCCGCGCGCGCCCACCCGCGAGCCTGGAATCGTTCCCTCTGCGCCTCGAGCGTCGGCGCGCCCGCGACGCCCCGCAGCGGACATCCCCTCGCCCGCAAGTTCAACCCCATCTGCACGCCAAACGCGTCGTCCGGCCCGATCGGGTCGTACAGAACGAACGCGGCCGCGGGCGCGCTCGACGAGAGACGCGCCGCGAGCGCGATGACCGCCGCCGCCTCCTCCGGCTCGACGTACGCGAGACAACACTCGGCGAGGAACAGCGTCGGGATCTCCGCGTCGTACCCGGGGAGGTCGAGGAGTTTCCGCTCGAGCGTCGCGACGTCGCGGAGGTCCGCGGAGAGAAGGCGGTACCCGAAGACGTCGCGGAAGGAGGCGTCGTCGTCGTCGCCGCCGCCGCCGTCGCCGTGATACGATCCGTCCGCCAGGTTTACGAGCGCGTTCGTCATCTCGTCCTCGCGATCGCCGAAGAAGCGCTCGCGCCTCGCGCGCACGATCTCCGCCTTCTTCCGCGCGACCTCGCCGTAGTCCACCTCGACGAACAGCCCCGGCGCGCGGCCGGCGGCGAGGAGGCGGAAGTAGGACGTGTCGAAGCCCGCGCCGAGGCTGACGATCTGTCGACGACGACGCGAAGGATGATGACGACGCCGAACGCGGTCGTCGCGGACGTCGCGATCATCGTCTTCGTCGTCGTCCCCCGGAAGCGACGCGTCCATGAACGCGTCGATCATCGCGCGCATCGCGCGCACGCGCGCGTAGTACCCGCGGTTGATGAGCGGCTCGTGATGCGTCCCTCCTCCTCCTCGCTTCGCGGGGCCCCGGGGCGCGAACGCGGCCGCGAGAGGGTCGTCGAAGTATCCCAACTCGTGGCATCGCGCCTTCGCGACGGACGCCTCGTCGTTCGTGAGGCGAACCGCGGCGTCGGTCGGACGCGGCGCGAAGGAGGAGGAGGAGGAGGGGGAGGATGACGCGCCGGGATGCTCCCGCGATGGCGAAGACGCGCGCGGCGGCGGCGGCGGCATCCCCGCCATGACGCTCGATCGGAGGCGCGCGCGCGAGAGGATGTGCGCAAGCGATCTCAAAATAAAATCAAAATGAAATGAAAATAAAATACCGCGCCGCCGAGGGCGACGTCGTCGCGCGCGTCCTCACATCACATCGCGCGCGTCGTCCATCGTCCGCCCTCCCCACCACGGCGCTGCTTACATCAATCACGCCGCGGGCTTCTCACTTCTCGTCCTTCGTCGTCGCGTCGTCGAACGAGTACGTCACGACGCCGTCGTCGCGGCTCGACGCCGTCGCGGCGGCCTCACTCGCCTCCTCGACGTCGACGTCGACCTTCTTCCCGGTGACTCGCGCCTCGACGACGGCCGCGGGCTCGACGACGATCGCCGCGGAAGACGAAACGTCAACCGCCGCGGGCGCGGCCGCGGGCGCGGGCGCCGCCGCCGCCGCCGCGTCGTCCTTCTCCGCGTCCGCCGCCGACTCAGCAATCTTCGTGAAGCTCCACGCCTTGCTGACCCACGCCACCGTCGACGCCTCCAACTCCAAACCAAACTCCCCGAACAGCGCTTTCAAGTCCGTGAGCGAGTAATCCCTGTAGTACGGCTCGTGATTGAACGCGGGGAACCGCTCGAGGGCCTGGTCGAACGCCTTCTCCATCCCGAGCGCCTTGCCGTCTCCCACCTGCGCGGAGTCCACGAAGAAGAGTTTGCCGCCGGGTTTGAGCACGCGCGCGAACTCCCTCGCGGCGTTTCGACGCGCCTCGCGCGGCATCTCGTGAAACAGGTAGACGTTGGTCACGACGTCGAAGGACTCGTCCTCGAACGGCATCGCCTCGCAGTTCGCCTCGACGAGCCGCAGCGGGCCGAGGTTCGCGTACGCCGCCGACGCGTCCGTCCCCTCGAACCTCCGCGCGTGCAGCCTGCGCGTCGCCTCGAGGTAGTGCGGCGAGAGTTCGAGCGCGGTGCAGTCCAACCCGGGCCAGTTATCGCGGACGAAGCTGAGGAATCGACCGGTGCCGGACGCGACGTCCAGAAGCTTGACGTCCTTCTCCTCCTTCCCATCCATCCATTTCGACATGTACGGCAGCACCTGCCTCCGCATCGTGTCCGCGCTGCCTAGGAAGAGCGTCTCGACCTGGAAGTCGTACAGCCGCGCGCTGTCCGCGCTGAGCCAGCCGTCGGTCTGGTAGTGAAAATTTTGTAAGTAGTACGCCGGATATCTCGCGGGATCCGGCGCGAACTTCTCGCGGAGCTCCTGCCCCGCCTTGGCGTCGCGGCGCTTGCTCACGCTCGCCTGGTCCTCCAGCGTGTCGCTCGCGAGCTTGAGCACCGCGAGCGGTTCCCACTGCTCCCGCGGCGTCGTCGCCGGATTGAGATCGTACGGGAATTTATACGTTCCCTCCTCGAGGTGCGCGAGCTCGACCCTGAACAGGTCGACGATGGACGCGATGTGCTGCTCGAGAAACTGCGAGATCTCCCGCGCTTCCGCTTCGCCCAACTCGCGCCCGCTCGCCGCGTTGTTCACGATGTTGCCCAGGTTCGAGTCCTCGTCCGCGATCTTCTCGATCGGTCGCGGGTCGAGCACCGCCTTGGCGACGGCGGCGGCGGCGGCGGCGGCGTCGATGTTCGACCGACCGCTCACGCGCGACGACAGCACCCCCTGCGTCAGGAAGAATGCGAGGCGAAGGCCGATCGCGGTGGTGTACTGCGCGCGGAGGAGCTGGCGCTTGGCGTCCGCGGGGAGCTGCGCGTTGACCTGCTTGAGCGCTTCCTCGAGCGGACCGCGGATGAAGTCCGGCACGGGGAGCGACGGCGGCGCCGGGAGGCTCGGCGACGCGACCGCGCGGACGCGGACGTCGCGCGTCGTCGAGGCGCGGCTTTTGACGCGCGCGAGCGCGACGCGCGAGGAGGCGACGAACGACGACGACGACGACGCGACGCGCGCGACGCGCGACGACGCGCGACGCGACGACGCGCCGCCGCGAGCGGCGACGGACGACGACGCGCCGGCGAGGGGGGCGACGATGACGGACGGCATCGCGAACGCGCCCGAGAGAGTGCCGCGTCGACGCGACGACACGACGGTTGGCGTCTGCGCGTGCCGACGTCACCGCCCGACGCGTCGTCGCGCGAAATTTGTGGCTCGCGGCGCGGGCGTCGCATTTCGTACGCGAACCAGTTTCATCGCGACCGGGAAAACGTACCGTACGAAAAACGTACTTTCGCAACTTACTTTCGTCAAGGAAAATAAATTTTTTGCAGGAAGCCGGATCGTCCGCCTCCTCTCTCCTCCTCGTCGTCGTCGTCGTCGCCGCCGCCGCCGCCGCGTCTTCTCTCTCTCTCTCACGTCCGCACCCACTGCGGGTACATCTGCATGAATCTTTTCTTCCTGTTGATCTGATCGCACGGGTCCTCCGAAGGCTTCGAATCCCTCTCGGCTTTGATCGCCGCGTACTTGGCCTTCATAGGGCGGAGTCGAAAGGCGGAGTCGAAAGGCGTCGGTCGGAGTTGAAAGGCGTCGCGGGCGGGTGTTGAAAGCGAGCGAGGAGGGGTGCGCGGAGAGAAACGCGGCGCGCGCGGGACCCAAAAGTCCTCCTCGAGGAGGACGCGGTCGTGTGGGAACCAGTGCGCGTAGACGGATAGAACGCGCCTTCATCTCCCGCCGCCACAAGTGGACGGGCGCGTAGAGGTACTTCGCCGGCCGCACCCACACGGGCTCCTTCTTGGCGGGCTGCTCGGCACCCGCGTCGGCACCCGCGTCGGCACCCGCGTCAGCACCCGACGAATCATTCGCTGACACGTCGGCATCGCCCAGCGCGATCCCTCCCGCGATCGCGTCCTTCGCGGCGCCGTCGTCGCGGTAGGTGACGAATGCGAAATCTTTCCCCTCCGGTCGGTTGATCGTCTTCACCGCGCCGTAGGCTTCGCACGCCGCCTCGACCGGGTCCGGGCCCACGATCCCGTCCGGGATGTTCATGACGACGATCGGGTTGACCCTCAGGTCCTCCTCGTTCCAGTACTGCTCCTCGGCTTTGTAGTCCACCTGCCAGCCCAGGCGGTGGTACTGGTTATACATCGGCGACTTCGGGTCGTCGCGGAAGCCGGTCCCGGGGACGTCGTAGAGCGCGTGAAGCTGCTTCTCTTGGTGGCGCGACATCGTCGCGATGGATGATCGCGGTGGCGGGTCTTCTTCACGGGGACAGTGGACGAACGAGAGGTACGAAAAAACGGCGGGAACGCGTGCGTTAGGCGCGTCGGCGAGTGCGGCGCGGCGACAACGCGCGATGCGTTTTCTCGCGGGGAGGCGTTTTCCTTGGTTTTTTTCGGGAGTTCTCTCGGGAGGCGAAGAGGTCGTTTTTATCCGAGGCGTCATCACACCACCAACGCGATGGCGACCGCGTCCGCCGCGGCTCCGACGCGCGCGGCGCCGTTCGCGTCGTCCCCGCGCCGCCGCCGGTGCGATGCGCTTCGCCGCGACCATCGTCGTCGTCGCCGCGGCATCAGCGGCGGCGTCGTCGTCGCGTCGGGCGGCGACGGCGGGGAGAAACTCTACGTCCCCGGCGACGCCATGGGGGGCGACAACTCCCCCGAGCGAGCCGGCGCGGCGACGATGCGACGCCTCTTCACGCACGTCGCCATCCGCATCGTGCAAGGGCAGCTCGAGGGCCTCGGGAACGACGGCGGGTTCGCGCCGCAGGCGACGGGGTGGGACGGCACGGTGCAGTGCCCGGACTACGCGGACCTGCGGCACGCGATGGAGCACGTGCCGCTCGGGAACGGCGACGAGTGGATCTCAGGTGCGTTCTATCTCACACTGGTCCCCGTACGACCGCGTTCGCGTGGTGAACGCCGTTCCTTAAGGACTTTTCCCGGCGCATCTCTCCGCCCAGGGTCCCTCGTTTTCAATCCCCGCTCTCGGCGCCTTTCAACTCCGCTTCTGACGCCTATGAACTCCACCCCGATATCATCGCTTTGTATGGAATGGCCCTCATCAGCGTTCATGAAGAAGAACCCGGTCGTCGCGCTCAGGGTGCTGGAGACGCGGAAGGCGTACTGCGCGCAGTTCGACTATCGCGAGCTGAAGCGGTGCGCGGACGAGCTCGTGCTGGGGGGGAACGTGTTGCTCATGAAGGAGCACATGGAGATCAGCATGGGCGGAGGCGGCGGCGGCGGCGGCGAATAGAAATCTGATCGTGTAGTTGGGTATTTAAATCGTTAAGGTACAGTACGTTAAAGGCGTGGAGAAGACGGACGATAGCCGTTCCTCGCGCGGGCGGCGACGTCGCGTCACGTCTTCTCGCCCGGGCTCGATTCCGGGGTCGTCGTGACGGAGAGGCACAGGTCGGACGAGGAGCCGCGCTTAACCTTATTGAGAGACGCGGAAACGTCGGCGTCGTCGTCGTCGTCGGCTTCGATGATCCGCGTCACCGTCCCCACGGCGTCGTCGTCGTCGTCGGCTTCGATGATCCGCGTCACCGTCCCCACGGCGTCCTCGAACGACGGCCGCGCGCGCGCGTCTTGCGCCCAGCACGCCTCTATCAACGGTCGAACAGCATCGGTTACGACGAACGGGCCGCCGCCGCGCGGAGGGAACTCCGGGCGGCGGGCCTCCACGCCGACCCACAGCGCGATTTGCAACGCGCGCGCGTCGGACCAGACGCTCTGCTCGTCGAAAGGGACGGCGAAAGGGCCGGTCAGTCAGTCGCGATCGACGATCGAGTTTGAAACAACGAGTGTAATTAATACTAAGAAGGCGAGGCGGCGGCGCGGGTGAAATAGAAAACGAGAGAGAGGAAATAAACGCGCCTGACCCGGCGCGAGGAAGAGCGCCTCGAACGCGATGACGGCGAACGAGTACACGTCGCACTTTTCGCACACGCCGCCGCCTGCGTGGGTGAAGCGATCGGTCAGTCGAACGTCTTACCGGTCAAACGTTGAAAGGGAAGCGCGGGTGAAGAGTGACGACGGGAAAAGTCCTTAAGGAACGGCGTGCACCATGCGAACGGGGTCGTATGGGAAGCAGTCTCACCTCCGCCGCCGCCGCCGCCGCCGCCGCCGCCGCCGCTCCCGTCGTCGCTCCCGCCGCCGCCGTTGAACAGCTCCGGGGCCATGTACGCGAGCGTCCCGACCGCGTTACACGTCGCGCGCAAGTTCGTGTGCGGCGACGCGCGCGCGACGCCAAAGTCCGCGATCGTCGCGCGCGGCTTACCGGGCGGGCCGGACGACAACAGAATATTCTGCGGCTTCAAGTCGCGGTGCACCACTTTCGGCGTCCTCGCTCGATGCAAGTAGTCCATGCCCTCGCAGACGTCGCGCAGGACCCCCAACCGCGCGCGCGCGTCCACGTGCCCGTTGACGCCCTCCCCGCGCAGGGCGTCGTGGAGCGAGCCGCCGTCGACGAGCTCGGCGACGAGCGCGACGACGCCGCGAGACGGCTGGACGCACGCGGCGAAAATTTTCAACACCCGCGGGTGCCGCGACGTTCGCAAGATGTCGATCTCTCGCTCGAAGTCTCGAACCGCGGTGGGATCGCGCGTCGACTCCGATCGCATCAGCTTCACCGCGACGTTCAATCTTTTGTCGCCGCGGCGGCGGTAGCGCGCGCGGTAGACGGTCCCGGACGCGCCCTGAGGGCCATTCCATACAAAAACAGTTCACCGGTCAGTTGAAAGGGGGAGCGATCAAGTGTTGAAACCGGGAGATGGGTGAAAAACTTTTGTATAGAACGCACCTGACCCAGCGCCGGCGGTCGCAGCGAAACGTCCGCGTCGTAGGCTTCGATCGACAGCGTCTCGAACGACGGTCCATCGAGCGACCCGACGATATTGATCGACGACGACCCGATCGACTCCGAGTCTGACCCCGACTCCGAGTCCGAGTCCGAGTCCGAGTCGTCGTTCAAGTTTGAGAGCGCGTTCGTGAGCTGCGCGGCGGTGAGGAGGACGACGTCTTTTTGTCGGTGGCCGCTCGCGGCGCCGCCGAAGTCGCTGCCGGTGGTGGACATAACGCTCACGATCGAGACGTTACGCGACCTTTCGTATCCTCCAACGTGCTGCTGCTGCTGCTCCGATTGGCCAATGCTCCGGTCGTCGGCGCGGCTCGGCGAGCGGCGGCGGCGGCGCCA